TGTATGTCTGATCTGAGTTCTTACATCAAAGGTGTTTGGCACTGGTAGTCAGATTTGGCTTTGACAAAAAAAAATAGTTGCAATTGGGCAAAACATCAAGAATAAGATAAGAAAAAAAATATAGGTCAAGTCTATCTCCGCAAATCTTTACACAGAGAAATTGACAGAGTTAGTGTTTCCTTTTTGTCCCCGTCTTCTTTCTTTCTTCTGTTCCCATAGTTCTTAGATGTTTGTATTCATTTCCCCAGCCAAGTACCCACAAAGCTAAAAGGTCACCTTTATGCCAAAAAAAGTAAGCTGCAGAGTCGTCCTTCCTTGCTGTCTTATCATTACAGCTCTTCAGTGCACATCTGTGAAGGCTTGTTACTTTAATACTACAACTTTTTTATCTTCAGTACAAGGGTACTGGCCTATTATGGCATTTCAGATTTCATGTGAGAAGCAAACTAGCATAGTGGGGTAGAAGAAAGGAAGGATATGTCAGCCTTCTCAGCTGGCATTACTGTTATAATAAAACACAGTGGACTGAAGCATTATTTCTATTTAACAGGGTGAGTAGGAGGGAAAATATTAAAATGAAGTGCTTGTATAAGTAGCGCGGAAGCCCTTAATGTATAACACAGGTGGAAGAAATATTTTTTGGGGCAAGTCAGAGAGGAAATTTCCAATAGCTGTAAAAAAGCCCCAGATAAATCTCAAACCTTTGAGATTAATGTTCTCTTTTCATTAGCCTCTTTATAAAACTCTAGTCTGTCCTTTCAGTAGCGACTATTATAGCGAAGTAATTAGGCTAAGAAGTTTAAAATAGCTTTTTTTGAAGGAGTACTTGCTCATCACATCGAATTTTTCTGTTACTCATTTTCTTATGTTTCATTTCTTTTCACGTTGATAATATGTATCTCCAAGGTGAGCAAGGCTTTGACACGGTGTGAACAGAAATGACTGTTCTTTATTTCTGCTATCAGTTTGGATGGCCATTTAATTTCGTCAATTGACAGTGATCAAATTTTATGTACAGGAATTTGAAGACTGGCTAAATAATTTAAGATCACAACCAGTGCCACTGATTCCTGCTCCTGAGTATTTTTCTGTGCCACATGAATATTTGTAGTAAGTGTACATATTGGGGATAGGAGTAAAAAACTTACATTGTTGAGGATCCAATGTTCGGCTTTTGTTGCTCAGAGGTGGTAGTGAATCATCTAGTAGCAAAGTAGACATGATTAGGAAACATTACAAGGGGTTTTTTTCAGCAAGAGAGAATGACTTGCTAAATTACTAACTCTTTGGAGCACCTCTATAAAAAGCTGTTTTCTCCTGGAAGATGATGATTTTGCTACTACTGTGCTCAGGAGTAGTACTGAGCTGTCTTGTTGGTGTGCATGCCCACGTAAACAAAAGGTGGGGCTGCTGGGGAGGCGTGTGTCTTTGAATGCGTGCAGACTGTTTGGGCACTTTAATCTTTAGTTTTAGATGTCTGCTCTGAAGTACAAATGGATTATTGTCGTATCGCTGAGCTTGCTGGTGGCTCTGTAGCACTGGTATGCCTTCTACTTGAGCAGTCTGTTGCCCTTCTCATTGCTGTGATTTGTCATCTTTGCTAATCTCTTACTTGGTACTTTTTTGTTTTTTCTTTTTTAAAGTTGTGTCTTTCATCATTTTAAGAATCCCTCTTGCCTGCTTCCTCTGGGTTTCATGTGTTTTGTAAGCCTAGTGCAATACCCTGATGGGTTTCATTGCTGCTTTGCTAGTTCTGGAAAACAAAGAAAACTCATGTAACTTACTGAATATGGACTAGAAGAAGTCTCCTTGGATGAGCCATTTGACCTCCAAAGTATTTGAGACTGATAACAGACTCATTGCCAGGAGTCAAAGGCAAAGCACATGCATTTTTATGTTTTAATCATAGAATCATATCACGGAATCATAGAATGTTTTAGGTTGGAAGGGACCCCTAGTCCACCACCCCTGCAGTGAGCAGGGACACTGCTAACTAGATTAGGTTGCTCAGAGCCCCATCCAACCTGGTCTTGAATGTTTCCAGGGATGGGGCCTCCACTACCTCTCTGGGCAACCTGTTCCAGTGTTTCACCACCCTCAGTGTAAAGAATTTCTTCCTTATATCCAGTCTAAACCTACCCTGTTTTAGTTTAAAACCATTACCCCTTGTCCTGTCACAGCTGGCCCTACTAAACAGATTTTCCCCATCTTTCCTATAGACCCTCTTTAGGTACTGAAAGGCCGCAATCAGGTCTCCCCACAGCCTTCTTTTCTCCAGGCTGAACAACCCCAACTCCCTCAGCCTGTCCTCATAGGAGAGGTGCTCCAGCCCTCGGAGGATCATTTTAGTAGCCCTCCTCTGGACCCGCTCCAACAGTTCCATGTCCTTCTCGTGCTGAGGGCTCCAGAGCTGGATGCAGTACTCCAGGTGAGGTCTCACCAGAGCAGAGTAGAGGGGCAAATCCTTTCTTCCCCCAGCCTGTATTGATACTGGGGGTTACCCCAACCCAGGTGCATGACCTTGCACTTGACCTTGTTGAACCTCATGAGGTTCACACAGGCCCACCTCTCCAGCCTGTCCAGGTCCCTCTGGATGACATCCCGGCCTTCTGGTGTGTCAACCGCACCACTCAGCTTGGTGTCATCTGCAAACTTGCTGAGGGTGCACTCTATCTCACTGTCCAAGTCATTGATGAAGATGTTGAACAGCACCGGTCCTAGTACGGACCCCTGAGGGACACCACTCGTCACCGGTCTCCATCCGGACATCGAGCCATTGACCACTACCCTCTGGATGCAACCACTGAACAGTCCACCCATCAAATCCATAGCTCTCCAATTTAGAGAGAAGGATGTTGTGGGGGACCGTATCAAAGGCTTTGCAGGAGTCCAGATAGATGATGTCCATTGGTTTTCCTTTGTCCACTGTTGTTGTCACACCATCATAGAAAGTCACTAGGTTTGTCAGGCAGGACTTGCTCTCCATGTGCTTTAGCATAGCTTCTAGGAGGATTTGTTCCATGATCTTCCCAGGCACAGAGGTGAGGCTGACAGGTCGGTAGTTCCCAGGGTCTTCCTTTCTACCCTTTTTGAAAATGGGCACAATGTTTCCCTTCTTCCAGTCACCAGGGACTTCCCCTGACTGCCATGACTTTTCAAATATCATGGAGAGTGGCTTGGCAACTACGTTGGCCAGTTCCCTCAGGACTCTGGGATACATCTCATCAGGTCCCATGGACAATACAGTACAACTGGAATTAATGTGAAGGAATGTTCCTATTAATGTATTAGTTTGAATTGCTGTGTACATTCATTGTGCAGAGCACACCTTTCTTTTAATTGAAGTCTAAGTACTTAAATTATTTTTATTGTTTTTAATTCCACAGTTTGTGCATTTACTCACTGAAGTCCCCAATCTTATGTAGTGTGTAATTGTTTCTACTGTAAGAAGTAAGGACTTCTAGAGACTCTGACTTCTGTTTGTAGTTAGCTGTGTTGCACTGACTTTGTGTGCAAAACAGCTTTGTTTTAGGAGAGAAATTATTTGAAGATGACATGATCAGCAAGTATTACTTAATTTTGTATGGCTATAACTTGTTTGCAGGTGGTGGTTTCTTATGGGTTGGTATTCAGTCTTCATCTAATTTTAGATGCTGGACTGTCACCACTGAATTGCGCAGTTGTTGCATTTAAAAACTCAAACATCTGTTCCTACCTTGAGTTTCTGTTCATATTAACTGTGAGCCCAGCTGTGCACAGAAGTGGGGACATAGAATCGCACAAATTCATAACTTCCAATTAAGTTACAGATAATCTTTTGAAGTGTTTTCTACAGAAGATGTAGCAGCAGTCCTTGAAGTGACAAGGAGATACCATTTTTCTGTTAACCCTACTTTGTTGTGTTTCTTTCTGCTAGTAATCCATAGATGAATATCCTCCCTTCTTTCTTTTTTTATTAAATATCATGTGCTCTCCTTCCCAGCTAGCACTGATGCAATGATGAAAGAGAAGAAGATAGTGCAAATATCTTGCAGTATGTTTGTAAGCGAGAATAATCGAAGCAGCATTACATATACCACTAATCCCTCCTGCCCTTTTTTTTTTTTTTTTTTAACCTTCTATTCTGTTTGATTGTGCTCTATCTGGTTATCTAAGGTCTTGATCTCTTATGAACAAGGTTCATATAACTAGATACCATTAAAGCTTAAGGGAATGCTGAGGCTGATCTTCCTGTGGGTTCCTTCGCCTTAGATTGTGAAATGTGTTTGAGACAGAACTGTCATCTTACTTAAGATATTTGTACAGCAGCTTATTATGATGAATAAATAGTTTTAAGAAAGTCTGTAACCAGCTTTGTTTTAATTAAAATTATATTACAATAATCCCATCTTTTAAAGTAACTTCTTTAAGAAGTTGCTTAGAAACAGTACTTTATTTAAAAACTCGGAAAATATGATAACTGTCTCAGTTCTGGAGACTGAAGATATCGTAAGTAAAGGCAGAGTGGTTTGGAGGTGTGTCTGCTGAACTGAAAATTGGACCAGGCATGCATAGTTTACAATGGAAAGGCCTCTAGGAGTAAAAAATGAGCCAATGTTTGGCTGGTTTATGACAGAAACCTTTAGCTCAGAGAGAGAGAGAATCCATTTAATCTTCTTAGATTTAAATGACTTGAAGTCAAGTCTAGCAGCTCTAGCAGTTCATCCCTGTTTTTATAGTTGATTTTTCTTAAACAAGTTGTATTTGAAAGTAGTAGTTGACTAACCCAGCAATCCCAAGTTTCACAGAAGGAGCACAAGGGATGTGGCTTGCTATGGGTGGCTTTTCTAATTTCCTTTGTGTCCTTTGATCTGTGCTGCAGCTGATAGATTGGGTATTGTTTTTGCTTCCATTGGTCTGTCTCCAAGTTGGTCTTTGTGGCTGTGAATAAATTTTAGTATGCTTTGCCAGGTCACCCTTTCAGAAGTTAAAGATCTCATCAACTTCTTCTTTTACAGGGAATGCAGAGGGCAACCAATGTTACCTACCAAGCTCATCATGTCATCAGGAATAAGAGAGGCCAGGTGGTAGGAACAAGAAGTGGTTTTCGTGGATGCACAGTCTGGTTAACAGGTACAGTCATGGTTTTCTGAGGATCCTTTTGCTTTAGTTATTCTTCTGAAAAGCTACTTAGCGGTAGCTCCTTTTTTTTTTGTACAAAGTTGAGCATTTGTGGAAGACCTTGAGGCAATGTTATTACTATTTTTAGGTAGACTAGCAAGAAATTTCTCTGGGACAGATAGTAACTTGAGAAAGTATTTTGTTCAGTGCTCTAAGAGCATTGTTTATTTGGCACTGCCTGCTACTTAATTTTGGTCGAATTTTGGAGTGTATAGGGGTTTTTTTTGTGTTTTAACCAATTCTGGCTCTTCTTACTGTCCATTTTACTTATTAACAAATGAAACCTAACTTTTTTTTTTTTTTTAAGAGTCTGTGTTTCTGAATCTTCTATAGAGATCTCTTCTCTTTGGAATGTTCTTGTCTCCTTGGGTTGAAATAACATTTAAACATAAACCTGTGCCTTTGGACAGCAATTGCATGTTGAGGCAATGCATACTGGGAGTTACTTTTAAAATCAGCACTGTGGGTTTTTTCACTGAATTGTTTTGATTGTAAAAAGAGAGGGTAAGTAAATTCTGGAAGAAAATTGTTTCATAACTGTGAGGGGATTTTTTTTTTTGTTCTGTCTCCAAAGTTTCTGGAAGCTTTAACATATTTCCTTTGGAGTTTTTTTTCAGTTAAAAATGAAAATAACACATTCTGTTATATTTATTTTCTATTTAATTAGTTTGTAAACCATTTAGAGCATTGCTGCATTGAGATACAAAACATCTTCACAGGATATTAGAGAAACTTACTACACCAAGTAGAATTTGTTTCCATTAGTGTTCACGGTGTGAAAGGTAAAGCAGTAGTTGATAAGAAATTGCTGGGAGCCATTCTAAACAGATTTGATACAGTAGCTTGCTGCCATGTATTTCTTTGGTAAAGAATGGAGTCCTTTCTCTCCCTGTTTCTGTCACGTAGCTCCAGCCTGTCTGTCGATGTTTGAACGAGCTGTTAGGCTGCCTTTCTTTCTCCTGGTAATTCATTAATACTATTTTGAAAAAGGTCATGATAAAAATGTTTTTGCAGTTATCTACAAAGCAATGTTTTCCAATCACCATTCTTTTTAAACAAATGTAATCTTAATGCCCAACTTCAGTTTTCTTCAGGAGGAGGAAGGGTGGTTGGTGGTAGAATACAGAAAAGTCGGAAAGCTGTAAGGTGTTAAGAGTGTGTCAGGGAAGCTAGGTTATTGAAGGTGTTTGAGCACTAATGTTAGGGAGTGAAATGGACCGTAGGTGTTGAAGTAAGCAATACTACCCATTCTAGAACTGTGCAAACATGAGTCTTCAAAACTCTGCTAGGTTTTAGAATAAAAGCTGTAACAATGGCATACTCCCTTCAAGATTCTCTCACCTCGTCAGCGTTCATGGATTGGGAATGTATGTAAAGTTATTTCAAAGATCGCTTTTCATTTTTAAGCTAAGATTTATATGACACCTAAATTCTAATGTATGTCTTGTGCTGTCGAGTCAGAGGGTCATAGTGAAAAAAAAACCCTGGGGATTGTATCAAAAATATGGAGAAGCATTACTTTCATGTGTAAAATAATACGCATTTTTGAAAGTCTAAGTTATTTTAAAGACTTGTCAGCTCAAAAGCTGTTCTTAAAATTCATTATTATATAACCTTAACTTCTGCATTTCATTCAACATTGGAGACCAAATGATGTATGAAAAGCTAGAGCATTTGAGTGAATAGCAAGCTAGATGTGGGGAAAAAAATTGCAGTCAACTGCATCAAAGAGAAGTAAATGAAGTTGCCGAAATTTTAATTTGGACTTACTTTCTAGGGTGGGGGTGTACTTAGTTGCTGCCAAAAGAGAATTGCTCTGTTTCCAGCCTTGCTTTCCTTCTCTTGCCTTGCACAAGCTGTAGTGCTTGCCCAACCCAACCCTGAGCTGATTCAACTTGATTCATCAGTGAACTTAACACAGTCTCCACACACACACGAAAAAGGGGAAAAAAAAAGAAAAAAGGGAGGGGGGGGGGGAAAGATTGGCAAACCAAGTTGGCTAATGGGGACTGGAGATAGTGGAATAATAGAGGCAGGATGGTGTGAGTGGAGAGAGGGGAGGGCAAGACAGCAAGACCTCCCCTTTGGAAGCTCGTTCTGGCCTGTCATGACATTTGGTTTCTTCATGTATGGCTGTTGCTCTTTTCAAAATAGATAGGTAAGCATTGACACAAGAAACTTGAATTGTCCAAGAAAATGTAGATAATTTTTATAGATGATAATAGATCATCATTCACAACTGCAATTTGTTGGGAGTCTTGGGTACAAGTCAAACCATACTGAAATCTGTGAGATGGATGTGGGAGCTTTTTTTGTGAGGTGTAGGATTTGTCCTGGGATGCACATACTCTTATGTTTTCAGTAGACTGCTCTGCATCTTCTAGATATTAAATCGAGTGAAGGAAGAACCAATGCAATGACTCCTCTTCTTTTCTTTAAATTATCCAAAACTATTGCAGGTGTCTAGATTTCCTTTGCACTTTGTGTTTTCTTAGAAGATACTTGTTAGCATGATTGTCATCCTTTGCTGTAAAGGTCTTAGAAGTAATACCAAACTGCTGTTTTGTGTGACTTTTTTTTTTTTTTCTTGTTTGCTTCTTCCTCTGAAAGCTAGAATAAATCTTAACCACCACTAATAAAGACCAAAACATTTTTCTTCACCCACTAGTGTTATTTTTTTTAGACTACCATTACTCTGTTTTGGTTTTTCTTACTCAAAGGATTAATGTCATCTTATGAAGATCTGAGTTTGTGTCCCATTTAGGAACTGATTTCTCTGTAAAGGTTGAAGTATGCGCTCCAGATAAACTCCTGAAACCTAGTCTGGAAAATTATTTAAATACATTTCCAACTTAAAACAAACAACAGACTTTTTAGTGCCAGCAAGATTTCTCAATTCTTTAAAGGTTTCTTGCTGAAGATTCAGAACTGGACCAAAATTTAATCTTAAAATTGTCTTTGCTAACACGCTTCGGTTAATGGAGCATAACTGCTGTGTGTGAGTCTTGAGTGAGTTTTGTTGTGGTTTTGATGTCTTAATTCAGTGCTGTTATTCTGCAAGGAGGAAGAACAGTGTGTGGTTTGGTCTGATCCCTTTCTTTTGTTGACTGAAATTCACTTCAGTGTAAGATCTTCCTCTTGTGATGTAAACATAACATCTTAACTTTGTGCTGGGTTTCTGAATTTAACTTACGCCAGTAGTAACAACTGCCAGCAGCAGCACTGGGGAATGAGCACCATGTCTATAAGTGTCAGCAGCTCTCAAGGCCAAAGTCTTTTATCTGTTTCTAATTGCACACTTAACTTTGTGCCTTACTCTCCCGATACTGATTGTCTGTGTAAAAGGCACTTGGCTTACATTGCAGGTAAGCATCTCTGAAAGGCATTGCTGTTGATACCTGTCACTCTGGGTTTTTCATACTAGCAGTGGTACATGTACTACAGTTTGCCCTAACTTGTTCCTTTCTATGCTTATAATACATATTTATATTATTATTGAATATTCTAGGTCTATCTGGTGCTGGGAAGACTACAGTGAGCATGGCACTGGAGGAGTATTTAGTATGTCACGGCATTCCATGCTACACATTGGATGGTGACAATATTCGCCAAGGCCTTAATAAGAACCTGGGTTTCACACCAGAAGATAGAGAAGAAAATGTCCGTCGTATTGCTGAGGTTGCTAAACTGTTTGCAGATGCTGGTTTGGTGTGCATTACTAGTTTCATCTCTCCTTATACTCAGGTAAATGTGAAATTCCTCTAAATAAAGCGTAGGGAAAATAAAAAATGTCACTCAAATTTAGTTACAGGAATCCCTTGCTGAACTTAGTCAGAATCAAATGCTTGCTTGGTTTTTTTTTTAATGACATTTGTGCTTTCTAGAGATGATTACTCAAATTTCAGAAACATTAATCTTAAATATAAAAAAAGTTTACATTAGTCCTGTAACTGTCCTTCAGTCTACTAGGCAGAATTATTAATCTAATATTAGGAAAAAAACCCAAATGATACTTGAAGAAAGAGTTGTAAAAGTACAATATCTTGTTTGATCCATGTAGATTCCAGTTCTTTATAAGTATGAAGACTAGGTATACATTTAACTTGAAGACTCAGTTAAATTGTTTTTAAAAGCAACTTTTCCTTCAGTGAATGAATGGCGTGAGCTGTATTTTACCGAGTAGCTTAAGGGAAAAATGTTTAATTGCCCATAGTTCTTTTTACTTTATTTCACGCTGTGTACACAACATGACATTCAATAATACTTAACCTAAATCCATGTTTGCATTGTTTTGTGAAGACTTTTTTTCATCTGTCTATGAGAACATGGATGGGAGAGATAAAAAGGATGTGTGAACATCAAGCGTCTTGAAGAATGACCCAGGGGCTGTAGCTCAGATGTTTCACAGCATGTGAAAGTGTTATTTCTTCAATTATAGTGGTGCAAACAGTTCTTCTGATAATAATTTGGGGACCTCAAGATCCTGCAGTAAAACATAAGTCTTTAGATAGGAGGAAAAATAACTAGTAAGAGATAGCTTTAGTGGATTTTTTGAAAGTTTTTTGTTCTCTAAATGAAGTTCACCAATTGTTTCAATGCTTGGCAAGCTGTACAAATAAAATAATACTTGGAGTATACAAGTCTCGTCAGATTAATGGATATAGAGAAATCTGGTGCTCTGGAAGAGAGCTCTAGTTGTATCAGGAGCAGCAGATGACTTCTGCTTTAGCGAGCTGACTTTAGTGAGCTAGGCAGATGTAACTGTTGGGGATGCAACCCCTAAGATAGGGGCAGGTATAGAAAATTCTGCACTCTATGCCTGGGTTTGGGGGGGGTGGGGTTTTTTTTTTGTTTTTGTTTTTTTTTTTTTTTAAATAAATGAGG